CTTCTCGCTTCTAATCCCGTCATCCTGGCCTGCCCAAGTCTCCCCACCTTGATCCGCCTCTGTATCCTCATCCGCTTCACCCTAATCCTCGTGAACACCATTGGTATCAAACGAATGATCGCCCAAATTATCATACTCGCCCACTTCATCATCACCACAATCGCCATCCTGATAATCATCACATCCCCTACACCATCATCACCATCGCCATGATAGCCAGCATCATCAGCATCATCATCATCAACAACATCACCATAATCATCATCACATCATCATCCTCCTCTTCATCATTATCATCATCATCATCACCATCATCATCATCAGCAGCATCATCATCGTCATCATCATCGGCGGCGTCGTCGCGGTCATCACCATCAGCAGTATCGTCATCGTCATCGTCATCGTCGTCGTCAACGATATCAGTTGCAGCAGCATGACCGTCACCATTGTAAACGTAGCACTACTCATCATGTTTGGCATCATGTTCATACGAATCTCCTATTCAACCGTCCTTGCCATCACCCATCACCACAACATCCGCAACAGCATACGCACCATCTCGCATGCCCCCCTCGTGTACAATGGCGTGTACGATGTTACTCTCCCTGGCTCCCCTCTCCCCACCGCCATTGTCCTTCCTGCTCGTCCTCCTCCTCCTCCTTCTCCTCCTCCTCCTCATCCTCATTATCCTCAGAAGTATCATCAGCATCATCAGCATTGTCTTCATGTTCCTCCTCCTCCTCTATGCGTTTTCCTTAGAAACAAGAGGCACGCGTACCAAGCATCATACAATCACAGATGCGGGACAATCGGAGATGGAGATAGCACCAACCTGTGGTAGTTCCAGGGAAACGCGCGAGTGCTGCGACACGCTGGCGAGTGTCTCTAACGGGGGAGCGGCGTATAGCAGCATGGCTGTGTGGACGCAGCGCCAGGTTCGATCCGAAGGCGATCTTAATTTGACGGGAGAGGTTTGCGAGGCTTCAACGGCGTATTCTGGAATGCAGGCCCCCTGTATGGAGCGAAGCGCTTGGTCCCAAGAAGGGGGGCGCGATGGTATGCATAGCCGCATAGCCAAGATCCGCCACCGTGTCTTCAGCACGTTGTGGAGTGCCCCAAGACTCATGCAGCCCTGAGAGGCAGCGGGGTTGTAAGGTTCGTGAGGGCCCGGATCCTTGGTTTCCCAGGCGCTCTTGCGCTCTTGCGCGGACCCGCGGTGTGTCCCGTGGGCTTTTGGAGCGCCACGAGGGCCCGAAGACGGGCCAAGAGGGCCCTCAGAGACTCCCAGGACAGTGGAAAAGGGCCCCGAGTCGTCGAACGATCGGTCCAAGACGCCCAAGATGGCTTCCAGACGGCCAAAGATGCCCCCAAGACGCCCCAAGAGAGGACCCCAAGAGACAGAAACAAAAGATCACTGGCAAGTGCTTAAAAGATTGCTCGCTCTTGGGAGCAATGGTGTAAAGAACTTGTTACGTCGCTGTCAGCTCGTCGGAACCATGGTGTAATTTGGCGCCACGGTCGGTCGGTCGGAATCAGCAGAGAGGAAGGGGGCACGGGGGGCCACGGTCGGGCAGGGAGGGGGGGGGGCACGATCGGTCGTCGGAATCAGAAGAGGTGGGGGGGGGGGGCAACGGGGGGCAAAGGGGAGGGCACGGGGGGCAGAGTCGGGCAGGGGGCGGGGGGGGGGGGAGCACGGTCGGCCTGTTGGGAAATAGCAGAGGGGGGGCTCTGCGGAAGGAGTGGGGGGGGGGGGGGGGGCACGGGGAGCCACGGTCGGGCATGAAGGGGGGCACGGTCGGCGCCCCCGAGCAAGCCGAGGGAGGGCCCCACGGGGGGGTGGGGGAGGGGAGCAGCGGGAGCACGCTTGGGGGGGGGGGGGGCGGGCGGTCGGTCGGGATGAGCAGACGGGGGGGCACATCGGGAGACTCTCCATGGGATCCCCAGGGGATCCTAGGGGATCCCCCCCCTGGGATCAGATCCCCCCATGGGATCCCCCCCCATGAAGAGTCTCCCGAGCACAGGGGGCACGCGGCCGGGCAGGGAGGGGGGGCACGGCCGGCTGGTCGGAAGGAGCAGATGTGGGACCACAGGGGGGAGGGGCACGGTTTTTTTTCTCTCTCCCCCAGAACAAATGACACCACAGATGAGGAGAAAGACGCGTCTCAAATGCAACCTCTCTGTTGCACCATACCGAGCACACCATGCCCCTGGGCGTCTTTTAAAACAGAGAGCAACAGAACACAAGGGGGAAGGGGCACGGGGTGCCACGGACGGGCCGGGGTGGCGCACAGTCGGTCGGTCGGGATAGGGGGTACCACGGGGGGCTACGGTCGGGCAGAGGGGGCAGAAGGAGCAGAGGGAGGGGCGCGGTGGGGCAGAGGGGAGGCACGAGAAGCCACGGTCAGGCAGGGGGGGCAAGGTCGGTCGGCCAGAATGAGCAGAAGAGGAGGGCACGGGGACGAGGGTTGAGGGAGCGCGGAGGGCACGGCGAGCAAAGCGGGGGCACCGTCGGTCGGTCGGGAGTAGGCACAGGGAGGGGGGCACGGAGAGAAGTGGGGGCGAGGGAAACGCGGTGGGCAAAGAGGGGAGGGGGAGGGACACGCGTCGGTCGGTCGGAATAATAAGAAAGAGGGTGGGAGGCCACCAGAAGAAGGGCGGGAGACACGGTGCCACTGTCCGCCATGAGGGGGGGGGGGGGGCCACGATCGGTCGGTTGGAAACAAGCAGAGGGCGGGGGACACGGGGGGAGGGGCGGGGGCACGGAGGCCAGGCCACGGTCAAGCAGGGTTGCGAGGGGCGCGGCCAGCCGGGGGCGGAACAAGCAGATGGGCAGGGGGGGGGGGGGGCCACAGGGGGGAAAGGGGGGCCACGGGGGTCAGGGGGCCACGGTCGCAAGCGACGGGGGCCACGGGAGGAAGGGGGGGGGGCACGGGGGGCCCGGTCGGGCAGGGGGGGGTGTCGGCAGAGGCGTGCGGCACGGGGGAAAAGGGAGGGAGGGGGGGGGGGCACGAGGGGCACCGGTCGGGCAAGGGGGGGACACCGTCGGTCGGTCGGAATAGGCAGACGGGGGCCAGAGCGGAGCGGGGGGGGCCACGGACGGGCAGCGGCCGGGAGAGGAGGGGGCGCGGCGTGGGCCTGAAGAAGCGGAGGGGGGGCCACGGGGGGAAAGGGAGGGAGCCACGGGGGGGCCACGGTCGGGCCAGGGGGGGGCGCGGTCGGGCGGGTGGGGGGGGGGCGCACGGCGGCACGGTCAGATTTAGCAGAGGGGGGCACGGGGGAAAAGGGGGGGGGCACCGGGGGCACAATCGGGCAGGGGGGGAGAGGCACGGTCGGCCGGTCGGGAGAAGCAGAGGGGGGCCACGGGGGGGAAGGGGGGGCACGGGGGGCCAGTACGTCCACACATCTCAGCACACCGATCCGAGCACACCGAAGTAGTACACTGACACACCTCAGCACCGAGAACACCGAGGCAGTATCCCAGCACCGAGCACACCGAGGCAGTACACCGACACATCCCAGCACGCAGCCTGGCCCAGCACATCGAGGCAGTCACGCATCCCAGCACACGGAGCACAGCACATATACCAGGCACGGTCGGTCGGTCGAAATAATGCAGTGCGAGATCACACCAGTAGGTATGTCTCACCCCGAGGCCGGTCGAAAGGGCGGGCCGCGCGCGTCGCCTGAGACTTCCTCACCACTTATGACCCTGAGGCTTATTTAAAAAGCGTAACAGCTTCAAAGATGGAGGGCGGGTCGTTTTCAAGATGTGGCTCTCGCAGTAGAGCGGGCACATTCGTTTAAAATTTACAAGAGGTTCACGGATTCAGGGGGGGTCGTCTTCACAATGTGGCTCTCGCCCTAGCGCCGCGCACATTCGTTGTAAAAAATGGCCAGAGTTTCACGGATTCAGGGCTTGTCGTTTTCAAGATGTGGTTATCGCCGTAGGGCCTCGAACATTCGTTTTAAAAAATGCAAAGGGTTTCACAGATTCAGGGCGTGTCATTTTCAAAATGTGGCGAGCTCCACGGATTCAGGGCGGTTCGTTATCAAAATGTGGCTCTCGCCGTAGCGCCGCGCATATTCGTTGTAAAAAAATGCCAGAGCTTCACGGATTAAGGGCGGTTCGTTAAGTGTGTCTCTCGCCTTAGCGCTGCGCAGAGTCCTCTTCAAAAACTGCAAGAGCTTCACGAATTCCAATGGTCAACGTGCCAGAAATTGTGTTTTGGAAAGACTCAGAATTATGAGGGCGCAACAATTACGTTGATTCGCAGTGTTGAAGTCTCACGAATGGGGTTCTGGCACGATTCAGGATCGTCAAGACGACGCAACAATCAGGTTGATTCGTGGCGTTTGAGTCCCGATAATGTCTTGGCATATTTCAGTAGGGAGCCCACAAAGGACGTACGCGCCCAGCTATGTACATGAACACTGCCCCTTGACCTGCGAGACCTGCCGCGTGACACGAACATTCGCGCAAAGAAATCTCTCGAAACCAGCGTGGGTTCATGTACGTGTACGTCCTTCTTTCGCTACTGATTCAGGGTCTTCAAACGGTTGTTTTCCAACGAGGCAGTTCCCTCAGTGGAAATGATCCCTTGCAGGGGCCTATGAAGAGGGAGCTTGGAGGGATGGTTTATGCCAATATCGTTGATGACTCTTGGGTTGACACTGGTCCTCCTCCCCCTCCTCTTCCTCCTCCTCTTCCTCCTACTCTTCCTCCTCTTCCTCCTCTTCCTCCATCCTTCCTCCATCCTTCCTCATCCCTCCTACTCCCCCTCTACCTCATTCTCCGCATCTTCCTCCTCATCATCGTGCGCGTACTCCTGAACCTACTTATTATCCTCCTCATCCTCCGCATACCTCCTCATCATCATGCTCATCCTCCTCCTCCTCCTCATCATCCTCCTAATCCTCCTCATTCTCCTCATCGTCCTCCCCCTCACTTTCATCCGCATGCTCTTTAGTCTCCTCCGAGACAGCTCCTCTGGGCCCCGGGCAACTGGGTCCGTCATCACGTCGTGCGTGATGGGGCAGGTGAAAATGCCGAAGGTGGCGTCCCCCAGCGGCCAGACCTTGAGAGGCAGCGGCTAGCCTTGTCCTCCTCACCATCCTCCTCGTCCTCTTCCTCCTCGTCGTCCTCCTCCTCCTCTTCCTCCCACTCCTCCTCCTCCTCCTCCTCCTCCTCCTCCTCCTCCTCCTTCTCCTCCTTCTACTCCTCCTCTTCAGCCTCCTCCTCCTCATCATCATCATCGCCATCATCCCCATCATCATCATCATCATCATCATCATCATCATCATCATCATCATCATCATCATCATCAGCATCAGCATCATCATCAACAACATCATCATCATCATCATCAGCAGCAGCAGCATCATCATCGTCATCATCGTCATCATCAGCATCATCATCAGAAACAGCATCATCACCATCATCAGCATCATCACCATCATCAGTATCATCAGCATCATCATCATCATCATCATCATCATCATCATCATCATCAGCATCACCATCATACTCATCATCATCATCAGCAGCAGCAGCACCAGCATTACAGCATCATCAGCAGCATCAGCATCATCATCAGCATCATCATTACTATCAGCAGCAGCATCATCATCGTCATCATCAGCATCATCATCATTATCATCGTCATCGTCATCATCATCATCATCATCATCATCATCATCATCATCATCATCATCAGCATCATCATCATCGTCAACATCATCATCATCATCATCAGCAGCATCATCATCATCTGGAGCAGCAGCCTCAGCATCATCAGCAACAGCATCAGCATCATCGTCGACATCATCGGCATCAGCATCATCATCAGCAGCATCATCATCAGCGGCATCCTCAGCATCAGCATCATCGTCATCATCAGCATCATAATCACCATCAACAACATCATCATAATCATAATCAGCATCATCATCATCATCATCATCAGCAGCATCAGCATCATCATCAGCATCAGCATCATCATCAGCATCAGCATCAGCATCGTCATCGTCATCATCAGCATCATCATCGTCCTCGTCGTCCTCGTCCGAGTCCTAATCCTCCCGCCCCTGCTCCTCTCACCTCGCCAGAAGAGGCAGTACTGGTATTTGCAGGATTTGGGCATTTGCTTCTGTTCGGCACTCCGACTGCCCAAGACGGCCCAAGAGACCCTCAAGATCGCCACAAGCCCCAAAGGCCTCCAAGATCACCCCATGACGGCCCAAGAAGCCCCCAAGACGGCCCCAAGAGGAAGACGGCCCAAGAGGCCTCCAAGACGCTCAAAATGGCCTCCAAGACGGCCCTGAAGCGCACGGAAAGAGCCCCAAGCCGGTTCAGAGAGGCATCCAAGATGGCCTCCGACGGCGTCAGACGCATCAGGAACGCCCTAAGAAGGCCAAAGCGGCCCCCAAAGACTTCCAAGAGGCCCAAGGAGGCCCTCAAGGAAGCCTCCAGGCCTCGAAAAGGCCCCCAGGAAGCTCCCAGGAGACCCCAAGAGTGGCCTAAGAGGCTTCCTGGAGGCATCCTCCTCCTCCTCCTCCTCTTCCTCCTCATCCTCCTCCTTTTCCTCCTCCTCCCCATCCTCCTCCTCCTCCTCCTCCTCCTCC